GAGAGTTTTGTTTCATTTCTTGATATGATTGAGAGAAAGAAAAGGAAAGAGATAAAGAGAGAGTAAGAGGGAAGGGCTTACCAAGAGAGAAAGAGAGAGAGAGAGCAAGGGAGGCTGAATGGAAAAATTAAAATATGGGTCAAATTGAGGCCGCGATCTTTTTCACAGTTGGAATGATTTTTTAAAATTTATTGAGCATTTTTTTCTTGGAAAGATCACAACAAAATTTACGAGTACTCAAATTTTCAAGTTTTTTCACGCATTCTTATGAGCACGAAAACTCACAAAGTTTTAAGTATTTTTTCAGTTGACCCACATATGGCTGCGTGGCAAAAATAAAAAATGTGCCGAATCAGTTCGACGATTATTTTGCAGTATAAATGATTTTTTGAAAATGTTCTAATTTTTTTTCTGAAAAGAACATGACCTCATTTATGAATTTTCAAAATTTCAGATTTTTCTGGGGGTTCCTCTGAGCACAGAAAATCGTCAAAGTTGCCTCTTGCAAAACACTTGTTTCGTTGCGCCTGACCTTCCTGTTTTTAGAAGACGAGCCTCAACTCCTGTCCATGAGGGCCCTTTTGCAGTTCACATGCCCTCACTTTTTTTTTAGGTCGGCTTCCACCCGAGGACCGGTCCAACGCCCCCCACTTCCTTTTGGTATCCACTTCCACCCGAGGACCGGTCCTTCCTTTTTCCAAAAGTCCCGATTCTACTAGAGCTAGCTGAAGGTAGTCCGCAATTTCGCCAAGGACCGGTCTCCCAAATTGTTTTGCCCCCTAAGAACCCACTTTGTGTCCTAGTCGCCCGCTGCCAAAAATGCAACACCTTGACACAGACGCCGAAGCCCACTATACCGCAACCTTAGGGTTGCGAATACCACTATTAGACCAGGCCCAGCGTGGTGGCATAACCCGAACCTTGTGGCACCAACAACGCACACAGAGAGAGAGAGAGAGAGAGAGAGAGAGGGGGGGGGGGGGGGGGGGGGGGGGGGGGGGGGGGGGGGGGGGGGGGGGGGGGAGGAATAGTCAAATACGTTTCAAGAAAAGTCGACTGTGTCCCAAATCGCCCCAAATCCCAATGTTTGTCCCAAAAGGTATCATTGTCAATATGTTGTAAGCATAGTCAGAGGCTACTTCTATCGATAGGATGAGCAAAATCGGAATGGATCTTCAGTTTGAATTGAAGGAATCTGGATTTGAACTTCAGTTTGTCACGCTTAGTTGTCGTAGGCACTTCGAGGTCGCTATTTTTCCCCTTTTAGGGTCTTCCCCCTGATGAGAACCCCTACCTACCGTTCCTCTCATCAACTTGAACTCTCCCCGACGCATCCCCACCCGCCCAGTCCTACCTCGGTGTCTACCACTGAGGATCATCACCGTCGTCGTGGTGGCCTGAGTGGATGGTCGTTGAAGGCACCAGGGCTGAGCTTATGGTACTTTGAAATAGCACTTTGGCACCGCCAATGGTCTCTAAGTTGTCCAGGAGAAAGAGAGAGAAAAAAAAAGAAAATTTTAATCCAATACATTCCAAAAAATTTGATGGTGTCCCAAGTCGCCCCAAGTCCCACCGTTTGTCTCAAAAGGTGCCAATGTTACTATGTTGTAAGGATAACCAGAGTGTAAGCGCCCTAAGTTGCTCAAAGTCCCAGTGTGAGTATGGAGGGTCTTAGTGTCAGTATATCGTAAGGATAGTCAGAGTATGAGTGGACCCTCCCTCCTCCACATCTCCTCCACCATTTTTATTTATTTATTTATTTTTGCGCGTGTGCACGTGCATGCGCGCGCGCGCGTGAGAGAGAGAGAGAACAGGTAAGTCTCTAGCCTCACGGCTGGCATCATGCTACTTCCATCGATTGGATGAGCAAACTTGAATGAATCTCCCTCTAGAACATGGAAATATACATTGCCACATGTGTGTGTGTATGTGTGTGTGTGTGTGTCAGAGAGAGAGAGAGAGAGATAGTTTTCCATCGATAGGATAAGCAACGCACCAGCCAACAGGTAAGTCTCTAACCTCACAAAGTTCTTTGCACCCTTCCCTCCTGGTACTTCTTTGTTGTCGGTCCCTCGCACGTATTTAGCATTGTTGGATGAGACGTCCCACCCGATTGGGGCTGCATTCCCAAACAACCTGACTCTTCGACAACACCTCGTTGTGTAGCATGATCCGGCTGTTGACGGCGTTGTCACCCTTTTGGGCGTTCTCTTCCAGGGAACCTGCACACGGCCCGCTGGAGAGGTTGCCTCTCAAAACTAGGATTCAGGGAGCAGCCAAGCCCCCGGACTTCCAGACTGGCCTATTCCCGGTTCGCTCCCCGCTACCAAGGAATTCCTCATTGGTTTCTCTTCTCGATTGGGCCTCGCTCGACTACCCTCGAAATGTGAAAAATGAGAGTGAATACTCCCTTAAAACATTGA